TTTTTGCATATCTTCTAAAGAAATTGCATGCCCTTGCTGTTGAGAAACTGGAGCAACTAGTGGTAAAGAATAGGATACTGGATTTATACTAGGTAAGGCTTGTATTTGATTGGGAATTTGACTTAATTCCTCTGAAATCCTTCTACTCAAATTTTGTCCATGCTCTAACCACATATTTTTTAGTTCAGTGAAAAATGCGTTAATGCCTGCAGGGTTGGCGATTCTCATCCAAGTATAAAAATCACCTGTTAAATAGCTTTTAAGGAATCCCAAAACTTGCGCATCATTGTTTACTACCCCTAATAATAGTAGTCGAATTCTGGCTTCATATGTATTAGGAGTATCATAGGATTGATATCTTTCTTGAGTTAATCTTTGAATAGCTGATTGTTGATTTCCAACAGTCTCTCGCTGATATTTTGCTCTCATCCAAGCCTGTAGTGTATCTGGAGAATTTATAGCTGAATTTCCTACTACAAGACCATTATTTGCTAGTACTGGTGCATATTTTCCACCCATCATAGATTTTAAAATATTACACTTGACCGCATTGTCAAAATCTCCTGCATTTGCATTCTTAAGAACCGTCATATGCCCTTCAAGATATGCCTATGATTGAATAACTTTATCCAAATAATCATCGGGTGGTTTTTGACCCATATAAGGTTGAAATTTTGCAAGAGCAGGGGCCATTAATTTTAATACTGGTAAATGTCTAGCATCAGCTATATTTATTTAATTTGGTGGATTATTATGAAGCACCAAAATTTGTTGATTTAAATTTAAAATATTCTGGCGCTCTACATGAGCCTTATTTTTCCACTTCTTATATCGTTCATATAACCTATCCCTATTATATTCTAGCAAACCTCTATCAGCTCTGCATTGTTGTAGGTGGTGGGCATTTCGCTGATACAATAACTGGAAAGCAAAATTTTTACATAGCAATTCACCAATATGCATTCGCTTTCTTGCTATATTATTTGTCATTCTGTTTACTTGATTCTGAGCATTAGTTCGCAACTGCTGAAGATTAAGCAATGTCTAATCTTGCTCCTGCCTGTACATATCTCGGTTCTATCATATGTTTACCAGATCTTGTTGCAGGTTAGTATATTTACGTCGGATTGATCTTGTTGATCTTTTAATTTGATTTATTAAAACAGTTTTACATATTGCTGTATCATTTAGGGATCGGTCTATAGCATCAGCTAATTCAGCTATTGTACCCATATCTAAATTTTGATCAAAATTATAAATATCTAAAGAATTTTCATTAGAGTCAGATTCGTTTTCATTAAAATTCTATGCTTGCGCATTTTGTAAAGCCTCTTGGGTATTTATAAGTTCTAACTTATCTCGATATCTCAATAATACTAATGCAAAATTTTGACAAAGAAGGTCTGTAATACGATTTTTTTGCTGAGTTATCTTGTTAATCCTATTTATTTGATTAGTTCTTACTGTATTTATTTCTCGTTTAAGCCGTTCATTCTCGTCTACTAATCTTGTTGTATAATCTTATGCTTTTGGAGTATTATCAGCAGATTTTGATATTTCACGAATTCTAGTTTTTAATTTTGTCTCTCGTTCATCGAATTCTGATATTAACTTATCCTTATTAGAAATTTCCTTATCTTTCTTTTTATTTTCTTCTTCAAGCTGATGAATGATTCTTTTAAGTTTTGAGATCTCTTCTAATAATTCTTCTTTGTCTTGTCTAGAAAGCTCAATAGCGTTATTTAACTCTTCTTCAAGATATCGTATTCTTTCTTCACGTATACCTATAACTCTTTCTAAGGTATATAGACGTTGTTTGAAATTTCTATTTGATTCTGCTAATTGTGATACTACCTTATAGAGTTCTTGGTTGGTTTGTTGTAACTCCTCCATGTTTTTTATTTCTATAATAAAACAAAGGAATGGAGAAACCTGTAATTTATATTGATCCACAGAGGGCCCATGATTTGAATAGGGAAATTGTTAAAGCTAAAAGAATAGAACAGCTAGGGTACGGAATGGGCTGGGTCAAACCCGGAAATTTGTGGGCCGGGCCGGGTTTGGGCCTAAATTGGGCTCAAAATTTTAAACCCATTATATTGTGAGCCAGGCTTGAGTTGGGCCTGCAAAGTACTGAACCAGGTTTGGGCTTTATAAATTTACCCAGTTAGACCCAACGGGCCTGATAATCTTTAATAAAATCTTTAATAAATATATATAAAGGTTTTATATTTTATTTGATGAATTGATGAATTTATAAAATTAGAATTATATAGATCATTTAATAAAATTGCATTCTTGTTATTTTTTACTAGCATTACAAGCTTGACTGATTAACTTATACGTATATGTAGGGTTGTATTACGCAAAATTGCATTTTTACATTACATGAAATTACATTGTAACTTACGAAACTGTAATATAACTTTACAGTAATTAGTGCTGCACCAGCATTACAAAATTTTGATATTTATCAATATGTTTGGAGCTGTAATTTTAAATTTATTTTTATGCCAACATTACAAAACTTTTGGCCAAAATTATTCACATAATCAAAATTACATGTAATTTTGATTTCAGAAACTTACACAAACTTACGCAAAATTACGGTAATTTTCCATTTCTACGTATATGTCATGCTCGAAGTTAAGGGGTCGTCTAAAGCTGTGTGCAGTCACATGACATATAGCCAATAAAATTGGTTGTTTTGATCAACACAGATCAGTCTATGAAGGAAAAAAGGTGAAAAACGTCAAAAATACAAGAAATGAGTGCCTAAACCTACCTTGGGGCATTAATAAAAAATGTCGGGGAGGCAATTTTATTATTAAACCTATCCTTACTCTAATCCTACACTAGCCCTTACCCAACTTTAATTAAAAAATTAAAAACATATAACCGCACACGGCTTTAGACATACCTGAAGTTAAAGCACCTGAAGTAACACTTGCCTAAACTGCAAACTAATGCGTGCAAGATGACCTAATTTCAGAGGCCAATTTCAGTCAAGTGCAACTTCAGGCACTTGAAGTTACTTCAGGTACGTACGTACGACATATATAAAAATCTGTACATTCATGTAAATGATAAGGGAATTTACAATCTTTGTGCACTGTTAAAAAAAGCCAAGTGAATAAATTTGGTGTACAAATCAAAAAAAAAAAGTACATATGTATGTGGTATAAAGAACTGAAAAAACTTGAGTGAGTTAAAAAAAAAAACTATGTGCGTCTCTTTGAACTGAATCAAGCGTGTGCTTATAGAAAAGGTGCTCTTTATAAAATATTTACATATTACTTAAGAAGGTCTGTTTGTAAAAAACTTTCTATTCTTTAAAAGCATATAAATAAAGGCTAAGGATTAATACTGGATTTTTTTTGTTTAGATTACGTCATTTAAAAGTACTGAAGAATAGCTCGTTTAATATAAAAAAATGGATTACGGTATGTTAAAAATTTGGGAACTATGTTTTAAATACTATTTTCTGAATTTTTAATTACCCACTATTATTTATCTTTAGAAGTTCAGAATATCCGTTCTACCATTAATGAAAGCGAAATAACCACTACAAATGAAAGCCTTGAAATAATCACAGTTGCTGAGAGCCCTGAAATAACCACTATTAACGAAAGTCCTGAAATAACCACTACTAATGAAAGCCCTGAAACAATCGTTGCTAATGAAACCCCTGAAACAAGCACTGCTAACGAAAGCCCCGAAAATACTATTTATAATAAGAAACGTAAAAGAAGCAAGTCAGAATTGTGGGTCTTTAAAGAAGGCCACTTTGTACATCATAATCCCAAAAAGTGTAATAATACTTGTTTTATGATGTTATTGATTAATTTTTGTGAACTAGTTAATACTCATATCATTGTAATTCATTAGCGAATTACACTCAATGTGTACATTGCAAAAGTGTTTTGAAACATGATAATGAGACAGGTACCAGCTCTTTAATTCGTCACATGAAAAACACAAACTGTAAAAAGTATATGAATAATAAAAATCAACAAACATTGCAGTTATCTGCATCAGGTCTTACCGCCTATACGTTTTCTCAAGAAAAAAGCCATCAAGACATGGCTAAAATGATTATTAGACACGCATATTCTTTCTGAATAGTAGAACATGAAGGATTCCAAAAGTTTTGCTATAATTTACAACCAAAGTATAAAGTAGTGAGTGAAAAAACAGTGCATGAAGATTGCATGGAAGTTGTTAAAAAACTTAAAATAAAGGCCCAAAAAATGATACAAGAGACTCCTGGACGCCTAAGCTATACGACTGACTTATGGACTTCAAACCAAACCCTCGGATATATGGTGGTTACTTGCCATTTCATTGATAAAAATTGGAAGCTCCAAAAATTAGTAATATCATTCAAATTAGTCTCCACACCACATACAGGAATTGCCATCAGTGAAACGCTCTTAAAATGTTTTAATGAATGGAATATTGTATCAAAAACTTTGGCAATTACCATGGACAACGCGACCAGTAATGATGCTGCAATTACTGATTTAAAACATAAGCTTGAGAATCAGAATATGCTTGCTGCTGAAGGAAGTTTGCTGCATCAACGTTGCTGTGCTCACATACTAAATCTTATTGTCAACGATGGTCTTAAGATGGTTAAAAGTATTATTAGCAAAATCCGAGAATGCGCGAAGTGGGTCCATAGTTCACAATCCAGGTTACAAAAATTTGAGGACGCAATTATTGGGTGTTGTCTCGAGCTTGTATCAAGTCAAAGACCAACTCTTGATGTGCCTACCCAATGGAATTCTGTTCATCTGATGCTAGTATCTACAATTCCATATAAAAGAGTGTTTGAGCACCTTGCATTACGGAATATTAATTTTGAGGAAATCATGCCTTCTGACGGAGATTGAAAAAGGGCTAGGAATATTTGTGATTTTTTAAAACCGTTTTATAAAGGTGATAACAAATTTCTATTGCATTTGTGTAAAGTAATGCCCATGGGCGTTACTTCGCACAAATGCGGTAATAGATTTTATAGCAACTGTAGTGTTAAACATCACTGGTGTAATTTAACAATACTATTATTTAAATTTTATATTTAACTATTATTTAAACAGTTACAAATATCATATCTGGAAGCACATATTCAACAGCAAATATTTTTCTTTCCTATCTAATAAAAATTAAAATACATATTGAGCAAAATGCTACTAATGTAGATCCTTTAATTTGTCAGATGATTATACCAATGCAGTCTAAATTTGACAAATACTGGGCAGAGATGGGTGATTTATACTGCATTGCGTCGATGATGGACCCGCATTACAAAATGGCATTGTTAACTCATATCCTTAAGAATAAAATGCATCTTTCACGTATTGAGGCTGAAGACAAGCTAGATTTTATTAAAAGAAGGTGAATTAATTCAGTATAATGTTTTTAAGATTCCATTGCCAATGATTAGACTCAGGGGTTAGAAATAGATGATACTTAATTGTTGTATTTAAGAATTTACTATCAATTTTTTAATTAATATACGGTGTATGACGGTTTAATTTCTAACCTCTGTAGTCCTATCACTATTCGTTGCTAATTTGATAACTTTTTTTTTTTTTTTTTTTTTATAGAGCTACAATGATTTATAGATCAACGTATAGATTAATGTGTACTCAAAATACTGCTGCTCCTAATAATAATAATTCTAATTGTGATACACAAGATGATGAATTAATGCAAGATTTTGACCATTATCTCGTGGCAAATCAAATCAGCATAATTAATGAAATGGATGAATTCGAAAAATATCTTGTTGATCCACTTCATCCCCGTTCTAACACCGAACCATTCGACATTCTAGTTTGGTGGAAAGAAAATGAGACAAAATATCCTTCTGTATTACTGATGGCAAGAGATATTCTTGCTATCCCCGTAACCTCCATAGCTTCCGAAGCAGTAAGTAAATATTGTCAAAAATAATGCTGAAATTTTGACTTATCTTAATACAGAATTTTTATATTTTCTGTGACACTCCTTTCAGCTTTTTTTAGAGTTAGATTAGGTTTAGGATCAGTGTTTATATATAATAGTATAGGTGGATTTTAGTAGAATTTATTTTTTTAAATCGAGACCTCAAATTTCAGTATCATTCCCAACAAATATTATATAACTAAAGTTAATATATATTGTTTATTCAGACATTCAGTGCGGCGGGAAGAATTATCAACGATCATTGATCGAAACTTACACCTGAAACTATTGAGGCATTGATTTGTGGACAAGATTGGCTAAAAGACGCAGTGAAACGAGACTGGACATATTAAAATGGTATATATTAGAACTTCTCTTTTTTTTAAAAAAAAAATTATGTAAATCTTAACTTTTCAGATTCTTGTACTAGGAAATGCATAAATAATCAGATTGTAGTAAGTTATATTTCTTTATATTTTAGAAGACGCATATTGCAAAGTGTACTTGGCAATTTATTACTGATATTATTCGTTCATAAGCAGAAATTTGAGAACCCGTAATGTCAGCACTATCAGTTTACTATTTCACGAACTTTTATTATATCCATTAAGAAATAACGAAATCAAATCAAAAACTTGTCTAATTTTAGACAATATTTTTTTTTCTACAATGTTATTGACCTTGGCATTGTATACGTTTTTTTTTAGAGCTTAAAGTTTACATTTACTAATATATAGGCGTTATAAGTTTTTGCATATTAAACATTAGAGTATTATTTTTTATAATTCCTGAAATTGAAATCTATAACATAAAAGAATAAATGCTTGAATTCAATCGGGTAAGTATTTAATCTATAATCGAAGCATATAATTTTAATTTATATAGATGCTGATAATTCTACATTTATTCCATAAAAAAAAGATACAAGATATTAAAAACGTAAGTTTGCTATCTTTGGTTAATATTTAACTAAATTCATATTAGAGTTTAGCATTTCTACGATTTTACAGGATATAATTTTTTGTACTTAATTTAATTGTATGATATTATGCGCGATTTATTTTAGAAATAATATCTTTATTTAAAGAATGCCTGGGTAATACAAGCGATTTTAGCAAAACATACTTGCTACAGAAGTATAGGGCATCTTTGTCACGATGAGCCAAAAGGTTCTCACGGTTCTCAGCAAGTGATGGCAAAAATAATACTGTGCTGGCTAATTTTATAACAATGCAATTGGTTCCTCAAGTAAAAATATATTTGATTAATATTATTCTTAAAATTTCTTGTACATGTTTAACCTTTATCTATTTTTTTCTAGTTTTGAGAATGATAAAAACTACCCTAACAAATTAAGGAGCCCATTAATTCAACATAACGATTGCATATTGTATTGTATTATATTCTTAAAGAATATTTTTATATAAATAATGTACTTTGAACATCAAGAATATACTTTGATTTTACAATTTCCCTAATCTAGTATTAGAGGTTGGATCCGTGAATATTCACGAATGGCAATGGATATTCATTGAGTATCCGATATTTGGTTACATGAAATCCGTGGATAGTTACGGATTATATACATATTTTATAAATTTGATATCGATAAATATATTGTTATCTCTACATATTTAGAGTTAAAGCAAATGTTCTAATAAAATTTGTATCTATAATTGTGAGTGCGATACATTGTTACCTTAATTGACTAGTTAGAGTATATATAGGATCAGGTGTAGTATTAAAGCTTTTCAAGTAAAGTGGTGTAATAATTGCACGAGTATTTAAAGGATCCGACCTCTATCTAGCATGTATTTGTAAATGTATAAAATAAAAATATTTTGATATTTAATATTTTTAATATTTTATTATTTTTAGAGTTGTTAACTTATATGTAAATTTACAGTAATTTACCAATCTTAAGTTTACTGTAACTTACGTAAATTACTTGTAAGTTTGTGAGTTGATCGACAAACGTTATATGTTATATTATTATTTGTATCAAATTAACTTCAATTTAATGAAACTCATTCAAACTTCGATCTGATGTAAGTTGATATTAATGTTGGTAAAAACTATCACATGATTCGGCTAGCTTTAAAGCTATATTGTAACTTACATATGGGTCAGGTAAGTTACAGTAAATTACAGTGCAATTTACGTGTAAAGTAAGTTGTCTGGTATGCTTTAACAACTCTAATTATTTTATTTATATTGGTGGCAGGTCTGGGCCGGGATTGGGCCGGGCCTAATTTTATTTAAACCTGGTCCAGCCCATATTTGAGTGTTTTTTTTTTTTTATTAGGCCGGGCTTGGGTTCAAAAATATTTTTTGGGTTTGGGTTTGTTTTAGAAAAACCCGGCCTAGCCCGGCCCATTCTGTACTCTAAGAACAGCCTATAATAAATATTAGTCCCCAGAGAGCTCGTGATTTGGATAGAGAGATTGTTTTGCAGAAATTATATTACCAACCTGAAGGTTATTACCAAAACACTGAAAGATTGCGAAATGCTTGTATAAAGGCTGGATACAACTTTTCACTTGCTACAATAAAAAAATGGCTTGAGCCTCAGAAGATATATCAAATTTATCGACCTTTGCCAAAGAATGCACCTTATGCTAGTTATTCTAGAATCTCAAAACCTAATTGTGTTCATCAGTGCGATTTAATTGAGATACTATATGATGAAGATGAGTATACAAATTTATTGAATGAAGATAATGAAATATTTTATTATGTATTATTAGTTATAGATTGTATAAGTAGATATAAAGATTTTGTTTTTTTAACATCAAAGAGCAGTTCAAAAGTTGCCAATGCATTTAGAAATATTTATGAAAATCCTAATAATCATCTTACATATCCTTGATTGTTGCAATGTGATAAAGGATATGAATTTATGAGGAGTGTAACTTTATTAATGAGTAAGCATAATGTTAAAATTAGGAGAATCAAGGCTCATTTCAAACATACAAGTCTAGCAATAGTTGATCATTATGCTAGACTTTTTACATTAAGAGTTTTTAAGAATCAATATGCAATAGAATTTCTCTTACCTACTGGTAAATGCTATAGAGAATGTGAACGATTTGCAAGAAGAATTGTTGATAATATGAATGACACTCCAACTCGATTAATTGGAATGAGCCCTAATAGTGCCATAAAACTTGAACGGGTTTATTCCAAGCCATCAACAAAGTATTATCGTCCAATAGGTACTGATGAGCCACAGTTACCAAAGGGAACTATAGTTTGATTTTTACTTGCTCCTGGTGAATGGGAAAATGATCCCTTTAAACGATGAAGAATAACAGATCCAGTATGGAGTCCAAGCCTTCATAAAATTCAAAAAATTGTTGTTGGAAAAAATCCACCAATGCCTGTATTATATTATTTAGATGAAACAGGTCCTCAACGTCCTTTTGTAAGAGAAAAATTAATGCATATTAAGGAAGAACCTATACTACCTCCCAGATGGGTCTTGAAAGATAACCGAATGCGTTCAAGGCACACCTGATGAAAGTTGGCAAATCAATAACACAATAAGGGATTGTGATAAGAATTATACCCTCCTTAAAACAGAGTGCTCTCTTTTTCCAATCGCGTTGAATTTGTGAATCTAAATTAATTTGCCCTTGTGGATGAAAAAATGGAACGATTTGAAAATGTTGATTACTACTATATTCGAAGGCCAAATGTAATTCTTCATTATATCCATCCAGTTGTAAGCCTTCTAAAAATTTAGGTTTTCGATGTGGAAATTTTTTATGCAATAATTCTTCAAATATATATCGACATGTCCTTTCAAATATATGAGAACAACTATTGCACCACCTATAATTTTGTTTCATATCTCTATAGGGTGCTTTCCATCGATGCTGATTTTTACAAACTCATAAATAAATATTAGGGCTAACTCTAGCTAAGCATTTTCCTTCACGTCTTTGAGCATATGCTAAAGCTTTAGCATCATTCTCATTATAATCTTGCATTTTTATAATATTAGAATTTAACTTGAATATTTTAGTTAATTATACTCTAGGGTATCACTTTTTTTTCGAACTTGAGAGAAAAAAAAAAAAAAGAGCGTGAGAGTATGGGTGAGGCGGATTTCTTAGAATACAAGCAGAAGTTTGAGACTAAATTGGGTATTCCTACTACTCTGCACAAAAAAGAACTGAAAAATAAATCTTTAGCAATCATTGAATATGCATAATTCTTATATATCTTTCAACAAGCAG